GGAAGCATCTGTACTTCTTTGACAGTCCTGGGTTTTTTAATTGCTAAGGTAAGAAGAGTTAGTTGAAGAGCTGCTAATGGTTGTAGCCATTTAGCCCTGAATACAGTCGTGCCCACCTAGCTGGGATGTCCCTGAATGCGGTCATGTCCACTTAGCTGGGGTGTCCCTGAATGTGATCGTGTCCACTTAGCTGGGGTGTCCCTGAATGCGGTCATGTCCACTTAGCTGGGGTGCACCTCTGTGTTCTTGCTGCTTCCTTGAAGGCTCCAACAATGCCTGGATGGGTTGGGAGAAGAACATGGTTTGAGGGAAATGCTTCATTCAACATCGCTATTGGGACTTTAGTGAGGAGTAGGTTTTTACTGAATTATTATAGACCATATTTCACCTGAGTTATAGCCATCAAACCTTGCTACAGCTTTTTCAGTTCTGTCATCACTAGGAACTTGCGCCTATGTGGCAATAAACTCTGCAACAGGTCAGACCTCCTTGACTACCCGGGCAGGTAGAAGGGGAAATACTGCTTCTCCTGTGGGTGGGGCGTTATTTGTAATGTAATTGTAAGACCACTTCCTGGCAGCAAAACATTTGCCTACTTCCTGCCCATAAACCTTTAAGAGGGAAAGTGCTGGGTGTGGTGTTTGCAGAAGGTGACATTGCTAGCCTGGTCTCCCAGGAACCATGTGGCCAATGTAACAGCCAGCCTTAGCCCAGCTGACTCTGGTCAGACCTGGTTCCTCCACCCCCTGCAACTTGTGTCCCCTGGGGCTGTGCTGCTCTGGGGGTGTACCCCCTGCAGAGCCCAGTGGGAGGGGCCCAAGGGTGTTATGCAGATGTTTTTTTCAGAGGAAGCCAAAGCCAGCTGAACCAAGGTTGGGGACCCGTGGTCTTCTCCAACCTCCTGCCAGCATTCCCCTCACTATTAGTGCCCACCGCAGCTGGGAAGAGGCCAACATCCCCTTTTAGGATTTGACAAAAACTCTATACCAAGTGGCTTTGCACCTACGCACCTCTTTGGGGAAAGGAATGCTTTTCAGTTAAAGGTATTTCTGTGCAACCATAAAAAAGAATGAGTTCATGTCCTTTGCAGGGACATGGATGAAGCTGGAAACCATCATTCTCAGCAAACTAACACAGGAACAGAAAACCAAGCACCGCATGTTCTCACTCATAAGTGGGAGTTGAACAGTGAGAACACATGGACACAGGGAGGGGAACATCACACACCGGGACCTATCGGGGGGTGAGGGGCAAGGGGAGGGAGAGCACTAGGACAAATACCTAATGCATGCGGGGCTTAAAACCTAGACGATGGGTTGATGGGTGCAGCAAACCACCATGGCACATGTGTACCTGTGTAACAAACCTGCATGTTCAGCACATGTATCCCAGAACTTAAAGTAAAAATAAATAAATAAATAAATAAATAAATGGATTTCTGGCCATGGTAGGCAGGTGAAGGGGTTTTGTTTTGATTTGAGACACGGTAATATTGAAGAGGGTTGCTCCTTTCAAAGGATATCAAAGGCTGACCCCAACACAAATTCTCCCCCTTAAAGATGCCTTGGGCAAAGGTGTGTCAGAAAGCGAGGTGCGGGGGCTGTCCCATTTTCCTACCCTTCTTTCTTTGAAATTCACTGTCATTCCTGGTTCTCAGATGTGGGCCCCAGAGCCAGTTTCCAAAGGACTTCTCACTGGGTGCCTCCCACCTCTTCATTCCCTGGATGTCCTGTGACCTGTCTCTGGGCAGGCAACCATGGCCTCCTGCTCAACTCAGACTCTCCCAACCAGGATAGAGTCAGATCGTGTGTGCCCCAGGCCTTCTCAGGAAGGGCAGGGATGCCTGGATGCAGAAGAGGCCCTGGAAATGAGTGACAAGGCAGGTCTTTTTATATAAGTGTGAAGATGATAGTTAAATGACATGACAACTCTGCAAGACTTGGTAAATCTCTTTAGAATGTGAGGTCTTTTCTTTTTACTACTGTGGTGTCAGGGGGAAGTGCTAACGTTAATTAGAGACTCCATGGACTAAAAGTGAGAAAAGAAATAGCCAAAATTTACTTTGAGTTAGACCCCTTCCAGTTCTAGCCATTTCTGTAAGCTACATGCTATTTATGCCTAATAACCATGAATTAAGACAATGACACACACACACACACACACACACACACACCCCTATTTGGGACTGATTAGTCTTCTACTGTACCACAACACCCAATTCTACACATGTGCCCAGGCTTCTGGAGTTGCAGTGAGTTGCCTTGTGCGTCGGGCAGGGGAGTGGGGACAGTTTTCCACAGCTTTAGAACAACTAGCAAGCACCCTGGCCTTGAGCCTGAGTGATGGGACTCTTCGGTGTGCTTTGGAGGAGCAAAAAGCTGACACCAGTCAAGAGACCCGGGGCCATGAGCCTGACCAGGAGTCTCTTAACCTGGGTGCTGATGCAGTAAAGATGCTGTCTGGACTTGGCAGTGGGGATGGAGAAGAAATGATGAATTTGAGGCACATTTATGAGGTGATGTGTTAACATGGGTATGAGTGAAATGGATGAGTTGGGTAACTCTAGTTTCAAACATGGCCCATGAGTGGATGGTCTCACCATATATTGAGACAGAAGACGCAGGTGAGGTGAGGATGTCGAGTTCAGTTTTGGACTCATGGAGGCTGAGTGCCTGCGGGATATCAGGCGGTGATGTCCATCCAGCAACTGGAGGTTCACCTGTGAGGCTTGGGCAAGAGGTGAGGGCTGGAGGGAAAGGTGCTGGAATATGGAAAGGCATCAGTGTGGAAGGTGGAATGTACCGATAGGGGGCAAGTATGCAGGAGAAGAGAAGTGAGCTGAGGATAGAAGCCTGAGGCAGTCCACAGAGGAGAGACAAGATGTGGCTGGAGAGGTGGGATTCTGCAGTACAGTTCATGGTGGTGAAGGTGTGGTTCTTTAAACAGAGGGATTTAAGTGGAGGTGAATGAGGAAGGTGGGATCTCATTCCCAGGGCAGAGTTTTGTCAATTGGTCTGTATAGATGAAATCTACAAAATTAAATTGGGTTCCAAGTTCTTGGCAATTCTCTTGAATGAAATTGGATACAATGATTATATCTTCCATTTAAGGTTTATTGAGATATGTTAGGAAATTGCGCATGGGCACTCAGACCCCACCAGTTCTCAGTATCTGAACCTCCTGAAGCAGCCCTAGGAGCTCTGCCAGCCTTTCTGTCCTGGACCCTTGGGCTAGTACTTCCTGGGCTGCCCTTCTTGCTGCTCCCTATAAGTACATCTGTACCCTCCTCCCAGTCAGCCTGTTTTCATCTGAAAAAGTAATATAATCATTTTTAAAGGCAAATGATACTACAAGATATTCAGTGATAAGTAAATCCTTCTCCTACCTAGGCCCCAGTCCTCAGTCCTTTCCCATTCTACCCTGCAAAGCAACTCCTGTTACCAGCATCATGTGTATACAATATCCTTTTGGAGACACTACAGCTGTGGGCTGAATCCAGCCGGCTGCCTGTTTTTGTAAATAAAGTGTTATTGGAACTCAGCCACACCCACTCATTGAAATATAATCTGTGGCTGCTTTCCCACCACAACGGGCAGACTTGAGGAGTTGTGACTGAGACAGTATGGCCCACAGAGCCAAAAATATTTACTACCTGGTCCTTTAAGAAAAAGTTTAGGCTGAGGGTGGTGGCTCATGCCTGTAATCCCAGCACTTTGGGAGGCTGAAGTAGGAGGATCACTTGAGACCAGGAGTTCAAGACCAGCCTGGGCAGCATAGTGAGACTCCATCCCCACTAAAGAAAAAATTAGCCAGGCATAGTGGCACACACCTGTGGTGCCAGCTACTCAGGAGGCTGAGACAGGAGGATCGCTTGAGCCCAGGAGTTCAAGGCTGCATTGAGCCATGCTTGTACCACTGCACTCTGGCCTGGGGGACAGAGCAAGACCTTGTCTCAAAAACAAAAAAGAAAAAAAGTTTGCTAGTGTATGTTCTTTGTATGTATAGACATGTAAGCATACTATACATGCTTCTGCATTTTGCTTATTTTTATTTCACAGTATTACTTAGAGATTGTTCCCCATTGGCATGTACATGCAGATTGGTCTCAGGCCTTTTCACATAATATAGCATGGATGTAATTTAATCAATGCACTGTTCAAGGATGTTTGAGATATTTTCTGTCTTGCCTGAATGCAAAACATTGTAGGGAACCTCCTTGTGCTTGACTTTGCACACATAGGGGATCTTCAGGGTGGGTACATTTAAAACTAACAGGTATTGCCAAATTGCTCCCCCTCAAGGTAGTTTTTACACCCCACCTACTACTCTCAGTGAAAAATCAGGCCCTTTTTATTTTAAGGGCTAAATGGCTAATCCCTGTGTGGAAATGGGTGTTACCAAAATAAAAAATAAGGAAAATATGCACGTTTACCCAATTTTGTTATCTATACATTTTACAGTCTCTACTACTTAGTATAGCTCCTTTGGGTGTCTGCCCACCACCCTTCTTTCTGAAGGTGGGGTTCCCTGGGCTTTCCTTGTTTGACTTCAGACCTGGATCTAATCAGGATCTGGAGGTAGAATCAAGACAAATGTTCCCTTTGGCCTCAGGTGAGTCCTTTGCCTCTCTGAGGCCCTCTTGATGACATCCAGTTCTCTAGACCTCTGCCCAAACCAGAGCAATCCCTCCTCAAATATGCTAAGCAGAAATGCAGACAATATAAGACACACTATATTTATATTTTAGGAGTTTACATTACCTTCCCTTCTATTTGGAAATCAACATCTCTCAAAATTAGGTATAGTTAACACAGAATACCCCCAAAATACCACCATTCTTCATAATTCCATCTGCTTATTTCTGGATTCTTTCAAGGGTAAAAACCTTGTTTCATTCATCTTTGGGGCCAGCATTCTGCCTAGTATGTGGTAGATTTTGGATAAACTGACATGATTTTCTCTTAATATTCCAACTGGATTATTTCTTTCTCCTCTTACAGAATGAAGATATTCAAATGTTATTTTAAACATACCCTACAGCAGAAAGTTTTCATCCTGTTTTTAACCCTATGGCTGCTCTCCTTGTTAAAGCTTCTAAACGTGAGATGGCTCTTTCCGCAAAAAGACATTTACTTGGTTGAGTACTCCCTAAGCACCTCGCCTTTTGTAAGAAACAGATACACTCATGTTAAGGATGAAGTCAGGTATGAAGTTAACTGTTCGGGTATCTATGAACAGGAGCCTTTGGAAATTGGCAAGACTCTGGAAATAAGAAGAAGGGACATCATTGACTTGGAGGATGATGATGTTGTGGCAATGACTAGTGACTGTGACATTTATCAGACTCTAAGAGGTTATCCTCAAAAGCTTGTTTCAAAGGAAGAGAAAAGCTTCCCAATAGCCTATTCTTTGGTTGTCCACAAAGATGCGATTATGGTTGAAAGGCTTATCCATGCTATATACAACCAGCACAATATTTACTGCATCCATTATGATCGTAAGGCACCTGATTCCTTCAAAGCTGCCATGAACAATTTAGCTAAGTGCTTCTCCAATATTTTCATTGCTTCCAAATTAGAGGCTGTGGAATATGCCCACATTTCCAGACTCCAAGCTGATTTAAATTGCTTGTCGGACCTTCTGAAGTCTTCAGTCCAGTGGAAATATGTTATCAACCTGTGTGGGCAAGATTTTCCCCTGAAGTCAAATTTTGAATTAGTGTCAGAGTTGAAAAAACTCAATGGAGCAAATATGTTGGAGACAGTGAAACCCCCGAACAGTAAATTGGAAAGATTCACTTACCATCATGAACTCAGACGGGTACCTTATGAGTATGTGAAGCTACCAGTAAGGACAAACGTCTCCAAGGAAGCACCGCCCCATAACATTCAGATATTTGTTGGCAGTGCTTATTTTGTTTTAAGTCAAGCATTTGTTAAATATATTTTCAACAACTCCGTCATTCAAGACTTTTTTGCCTGGTCTAAAGACACATACTCTCCTGATGAGCACTTTTGGGCTACCTTGATTCGGGTTCCAGGAATACCTGGGGAGATTTCCAGATCAGCCCAGGATGTGTCTGATCTGCAGAGTAAGACCCGCCTTGTCAAGTGGAATTACTACGAAGGCTTTTTCTATCCCGGTTGTACTGGATCTCACCTTCGAAGCGTGTGTATTTATGGAGCTGCAGAATTAAGGTGGCTTATCAAAGATGGACATTGGTTTGCTAATAAATTTGATTCTAAAGTGGACCCTATCTTGATTAAATGCTTGGCAGAAAAGCTTGAAGAACAACAGAGAGACTGGATCACTTTGTCCTCAGAAAAGTTATTTATGGATAGAAATCTCACAACCACATCATGATAGTAAAATCAGGATGGAAATAAGAGGGTATGTGATAAATTGAGTCAGTATGGAATTGAACACTATACTATGCCCAATACTGTTTAAACTCAGTCCTCCCATACTTTAAAAGGTGTCCAAAATTCCATGCACAAGGGAAAGTGAGCTAGCCATTGATGATATTAGCCTGCAGTTGGCTAGGTTTTTTTAATGTTTGTTTTTGGTTGTAATCTCACTGAGCTAAGTCAGAGATCTTAAACATTCAGTTAGTCCTCAAACATTATTGAGCACCTAACTGTATGACAAGCACTTTTTTAGAGACTGTGGCTTATCCTCATCATGGCAATCTCGGTATCTTTAAGTTCTCCACATAACAGTCAGGATTCTACTGAAGTGGTAATCATCCGATCATATAAACCACCCATTTCAGAGTAGTGTTTAAGTACTGTGACCAACACTCCACTTGTCTCTTAACTTACCTTCCAAGATATTTCTTAACCATTAGAGCAGAGGAGGAAAGACTCACTACCTCAGAAAAATCTCAAAGAATAGTCCAATTTCCTGCTTGCCAAAGCATAATCTGCCTTTTGGTGCATTACTTGGTTAATTCAGGGTTGAGGAGATTGTTGGGGGGCATTTATAGTGTATGAAAGTTAAGGAAGGGGGTGAGGATATGGGTTGGGACAGGTAGTACCTAAAGAGGAGCAAAGGGATTTATACAATATTTTTATCATGTTACAAAACAGTATCATGAATGGCCTTTTTAGTTCAACTGTTTCTTTAAAATGCATTTACTGATTAAAAATAAGAACTGACCAATAGCTCCAAGTGTCGCACACCAGAACATTAAGCCTAAGTCTTCAATTTGTAAGTTATCATTCTAGATAAGTTTCTTTACAATGGAATCATTATAATTCTGTTTTATGGAACTATCAAGCTAAGAGTCACTAAACTTTCTTGAAAAGGTTGTGTGAAATATGACAACTTTCTAAATTAATTGTTAGTCATTTAAAATTTTTTCTTCTCTGGCAACTGTCCAACTGGAATCCAGATTTAAAGTGATGAAAGCTCTAAGTTTCTCGCAGTCTTTTTCTCAGCTTAGTTCCAGAGGAAAACAAAAAAACTAATTTTCCTAAGGACACAGCAAGAATATTCATTAAGGATATTTTCTAAACCCCACACTTAAGAAAACCACCAAATGAGTTATATATATATATATATATATACACACACACACACACACATACACACATACATACATGTGTGTAATGGAATTGTTCTAAAAGTAAAATGTGGTAGGAATGGTGTTCTGAGAATAGGCGAGAACATTTTCACTAGTCTCTTGGGAAATTGTAGAACTCATGTAAAAATTTCTTGGTCATCATATGTCTCAATGGCAGCCTCAGTAAATAAAGATGTAGCCTCAGATATTAATTTAAAGATGTAGTAAATCAAGGCCAAAGTAGGACAATTTGGAAGATTTAAGTATTACATATTTTGAAATGTCTGTGTTCTAAATGTGAAATGCACTTTGCTCATTTTAAAGTTCATAATACTAACTGCCAACTGACACCACTTCTTGTTGCCTTTCTTCTCTTGAACTCATTTTTCTCCCTTTTTATTTACCGCCTTCAAATTACTTCATTCTTCAGAAATAACTATTTCCAAGCCCCATTCTTCAGAATAAGTAAACATTGTATAGAGCTAAGTTCTGCAAAAGATCCATACCGGTTCACTCGTGTGTGACCATGAACAGGTAAGTCACTTTGGTCTCTATGAACCTCAGTTTTTCCAGATATTTGAAATGAGCACTTGGATGCCTATCCTTGCTTCTTCCACACAAGTTTTGGGTTTTTTTTTTTGTGTGTGTGAGAATCGATTGAAATAGTATATGAAGTGGTATGAAAATAGGTACAAACTATTGACATTTCAATGTCAGAGCGTGATACCTGTAGGAGTATAAGGCAAACAAAGGTCCAACCCCATTGAAAGACTTAAACATTTACCTTTTCTGAAAAACTATTGAAATATAAAAAGAGGCCCCAGTCACAGGGGCAACTTCTGTAACCAAATCTAGATCTGAGGAAACTCCTGTAACCCCATTTAGGGTTTCTTTCTAAGCCAATAGGGTTACAGGTTGGTACAGTGACTTACATTGAGGATTGGGCTACAGATACTTTTCCCACCATCTAGGATGAAATACATGAGATCCTGTTGAAATCTTGGTTTTTATGGCTTTGGTCATCAGAATAAACGTAAATGCTGAAAAACAAATAACCTCCTGATCCAGTGTCTTGCCTGCTGGTGAGAACTTATTGTATCCCCTGTTTGTTGGGAAATTTCCGAAGTTGTTCATCACTTAAATGCCATATTCAAAGGGAACATGGAAGGATGAAGCGGAGAAAGTGCCTTTGAGACATTCACACATTTCTCTGGACTCAGTCTGTTAACATTTCAGGGAGCTTGTCAGATCACACCTTTTTGCCTTGGAAATCCTACAGATTTCCTGTACGCCTTCATATCTGATTCTTCCCTAAAACCTTTGGGTATGATTTCCTCCCTGGTCTTGAGAATGTCCTGCAGTCTGTGTTTTATAATTATTCTTCGTATTTATTGAATCTAGACTTTAAGTTATTCAGAGATCAGACCAGAACCTTAGAGTTTCTAAATTGTATGTGGATATTAAACAATATTAATAATGAAAGAGCTACCAAAACAGTCTATATTGTGTGAACAATCTCTTGTGATATTAGACATATTTAAAGACCAGTGTTGCTGCTATTTTTAATATTTTGGTTAATTTAAGTGAAATGTACATACTTAAATTTGAAGATTTATCTTGCCTTTCAGAATGTGAAGATATACTTGCATATATTTTGACATATTTCATGGAAAATAAAAATGATAATCCACTTTGTGAATGTAAGTGAATGTATTCTTATGTATGTTATTATAAATGATTTTTGTTTGCATTGATGATGAAACGAGAGTTTTTATACATTTATATTGACTGGTCTCTAAATCTCCTACTATGTTTTCTTATCATTTTTGAAATACAGTTCCCATTATGAGAGTTTTAAATAGATTGGTGTTTCATTTTGTATTATGCTACTATTAGATGTTGATTCTCTGGTATTGTAAAATAAAATATGCTCCAAAAACCCAAACCCTTGGACTTTATGAGCTTTCCTTTCTCTGGTTTTGCTGATTCCCCACAATCTTTCAGTTTATGGCAATTGCCCAGTATTTAAAGAGTAGAGTTAATTTCACTTCAGTGTAAAAGACATTCAGCCTGCATATTATACACAATATAGGCACATGAACTTAAGCCGTTTAATTTGGTAAAGTCTCAAAGAGTCTTCCAGGATTTCCCTGTCTTCGTCCTCCTTCAGGCTGGTTTCTCCTCTAAGATTAATTAGGTAAAACTCTTGTTTGCTTGATTACTTTATGGAAGTAGTTTTCAGTAGGGTAGGTTGAGCTTTTTATCTCAGGTCCCTCACTTCCTGGAAAATCATGATTCTTCCCTTTCTACTTTTTTTCTTTTTTTTTTTTTTTGAGACAGAGTCTCGCTGTGTCGCCCAGGCTGGAGTGCAGTGCAACCTCTGCCTCCCGGGTTCAAGTGATTCTCCTGCCTCAGCCTCCCAAGTAACTGGGATTACAGGTGCCCACCACCATGCCCAACTAATTTTTTGTATTTTTAGTAGAGATGGTCTTTCACTATGTTGGCCAGGCTGGTCTCAAACTCCTGACCTCATGATCTGCCCGCCTGGGCCTTCCAAAGTGCTAGGATTACAGGCATAAGCCAACGCGCCCAGCCGAGATCCTTCCCTTTCTTTGAAGGACTCCTGCCTTGGTTGTGAGCGCACAGACACCCCCAATGTCCCCAGGCCTTGCTGGTGGAGGATTCCTGATGAACTTCTGCTCTGTTCTCCCAGCTCTACTGAGCTGAGTATTTGTTATCATCAACCCCCACCCCCTGAGAAGCTCCCTGGCCATTTTTCTTTCACCATTTCTAAATCTGTAACAGTCACCAGCCTACCTACTATGCAGATATGCCCAGGGTTTGCGTATTTCACTCACAAATCTCAATCCATCTCAAGGAGTAAGGGCATGTGGGTGATCTTCAACCTAAAAAAATAAACACTGTACTCAACCTAAGGCTAATTCTAGCTCTCACCAAGCTGGACAACTGTGCAAATCCACAGTAATTTCAGGAACAGGGGACTATTTTTTGGTGCCAGTGGTGGTGAGGCAGGTCTATACACAGCATCATATTAAAGACTGATTTGATTCCTACATAAGTTTCATATCTTTTTGTTCCCATTGGCACCTACAAATCTACATCTAAACTGGGACAACTGGCTTCTAGTTTCATGAAACTGATTATGAGGAAACTGTGGCAAGAGAGAATGAATAGATCATTGTAAATTTGCTCTCAGTACTGGAAAAAAAAATCTGATGATGTAAAACAAACAGCTTCAGAGACAGATGATCAGGCTGTCAACCCACATGGACACACCAAAGCCACAGGAAGACTCTTCACCTGGCCTTACATACAGCCTTCCCACAGAGCAGCAAAGCACACCCTCCTGGAGTACCCTCCGTTGAATCATGCATAAGACAAACAGCCAGAAAATAATCTCAGGGAAAATCATGGCCAGGAACCTGGGTAAATTTATTTTTTGTTCTTGTTTCTTGTTTTGTTCTTTGTTGTTTCTCATAGAACAATAAAGGAAATTAAACAGAAACCACGTATATTCGTAATTCTAACATCCTAACAAAACCACTATAGTTCTCTGAATGCTCTTATCTAGATACATGTGTTTTGACTTTTGTCCCCACTGTCAATATTTTTACAATCACTCTGCCATGTTGCTACATGGTCTTTATGGCTATGTAATGGTCATACCACAATTCACTCAGCCTCTACTTTATTGTAGGACATTTGAATTGTAAACTACTTAATTTATTTATTTATTTTTTTTGCTGTCATAAATAACAGTGCTATGAACAGTTTTGTACATACAGCTGTGCTTTCCTTGAATGACTTCCTTATGATGCATTTCCATGACAGAAATTATAATACTGAAGAGAACGGATTTTTAAATTGATTGCTCTTCATGTATGTTTGTTATAAATCAACTTCTCAAAACCGTGTCGGATGCTTGCTTGATGTATACAACTACAGCCTCTACTTACGTGAAATAAATTGTATTCATTTATTCTGATAAATGGCTATTCAGATTCTCAAAGTAAGCAAAGACTTTTGCTTAAAACAAGTATGTAGTTTGTCCTCTAGCAGATAAAAGATGATGTTTTAATGCATGGGTAGTAAAGAGCTATTTCAGAATAATGTTCTTAAAGGCTTAACTTTGATGACTGACTCCATTCCAGGAAGGATCTAGAAGTTGCTAGTTTCTTCTAGTATCCATTCTTTCTGGCATCCCTGGTTTTATTCTGAGCAACAACATAACCAGCTGTTAATTCCCAACTTCTCTTTCAACTATGGGGTGGTGGGCAAATGAGTTTTAAGCCTAAGTCACTGGGTGGGACAGACAGCTGAGAGTGCACCTGGAAGGTAATTTACCTAGCTTGCCTTCTCCCCACCTCTCTTGCTTTTTCCTGTGCCTAGAATGTTTGTTACAGCTGAAATTTCAGCAACCATTTTAAAACCATGAGGATGGGAGTTATATGGCAGGGACAGAGTGAAAATATGACATCTGAATCATCCAAGACTATCTACCTGCAGTCTTATTTATGGAAGAAAAAACTTGGTATGTGCTTTAAGTCACTGTCATCTCAAGTCTCTATTACTAACAGCTGGACATGATCCCTGATTTACGTAATGTTTGTCTAGGACACTGGTTTTCAAACTCCAGTCTGCATCAGAATCATCTAAAACACAGATTGCTCCCCACCGTTCCCTCTTTCTCATTAAAGGGGAGGGAGATTTGCATCTCTAACAAGTTCCTAAGTGAGATTGATGCTGTTCTAAACTATGCTTTGAGAACCACTGTTAGGATATCTTTCCTGAACAATATTTCAATATTGCAAGCATTAGGCTGATTTAGTATTTACAATTTTGCAATAAGTATACATACCTCTTGATCCTAAGACACGATAGTTAGAAGTTCAGAAATATTTTATATGCTGTTTTATATGCTTTCTCTACATTGTTGAAGAGGTAGCTATCTATATTTTTAAAATAATGACCAAAGTTGATGCATTTCTATAACTATAGGTCCTCCTAAAATTGTTTTCAACCACATTGCTGCCATACTTGGAACTATTTTATAAAATACAATGAAAAAGAAATGAATTTTGGAGGGTGTGAGTAACCTGAAATCATGGGGGTGAAATCTCAAGTTCAGACCTACGTGTAATTCTATAAAACCAAGATGTATGCTGGTGAGATGGCCTCTATCCAGCTAAGAAAAATTTTCCATGGGAAAAAAAATTATGAACTCTAAGGAGAATACAAAGTGGTGCAGGTGTAGCTCAGCTAGAGATAAAGTTTACATGGTCAGAATCGTGTAAATGTTAAATATTGACCTAATCAATGCTACTGATATAATTTACAGGGAACATGAGGGGATAGAAAGGACGAATATGTTGGGTAGGGAGCGTGGGTGGGTATGAAAGACATCAAAATCATCTCAATGATGGGACTAGGTAGACAATACCTGTAACTGAAAAACCAAATAAAGGAATAGAAAGATGTCACTCCAATTTGTGGAAGCAAAACCAAAAGAACCACTTCAGAGAGTTACAACTAGTCACCTCCGAGGAAAGGAAAGGAGGAATGCTGATTCTGTTTTGCAACAAGCCTTGCAACCACGTCTTTAAACTTTGAAATAAAAACTGGGGAAACAAATAATTAACTGGTAAGGAAAAAGACCTGATCTGTGATCAGACTTCTTGTAATCTAATAGCTAGTGCAAAGAACCAGAAACCTGATAAGAGTGGCTACTGTTTCTGTCCGCTCAACCCTTCTTCCATGCCAGAATCTTCAGAGCACAAACAGCCCCCTTCCCGCCCTGAGGTGGTCAGGTGACCCAAGCTGGGCCAATTACAGCCTCTCACAGCCACGGCCACGCTAATTGGTGTAAGGAGTGGGAACCTGATCTAAAGGAGGGGGCTAATCAGGGCTCTTGGGACTTTTTAAATTCCTGCCAGAGAATAAGAATCTCTTGTTCCTTTTTGTTTTTTAAATGACAGAACATAAGGATGTGGGCTTGCTAGCCCAGCACAGCTGTCTCCGTGTCCATACCCCACCACTTGGACAAGTTTGTATCAGCGAATTAATGTTCCAAAAGGAACAGGGAAGAGATAGAGAATGACAGAGGGGGTCCTCGAGATGTTCAAGGCAGTCAATCAATCATTGCTGACACCAGCTCCACCTGCCCTTAGGTTCATTTACACAGCCCCATTCAATCTCTCCTTTTTGTGTATTTACACAAGATTAAATTAAAGTTCATTTGTGGTCATAAAAACTACCTCGTAGTCATAATTCACAGTTGAATACCAAACAAAGCTTATGGAAAGTTTCAAGCAAACACAAGCAGAGAGAGAGAAGAGCATGATGAATCCCAACATCCTCATCACTCAGACCCGCTACTGTCAATATTTTGACAATCCTATTTCATCTATCCACCCCTCCACCCCATTTTCCCCCAGAAATATTTTAAAAGAATTCTAGATATCACATTATTTCACTTGTTAATAATAGATTGAACCATATGAAACTGCTGTTTTTGTAGGTCAAAAGTGGTCAAATATTGCCAATATTCTGTGTTCTGACCTAACATTTCAATAGTGTCAGGTCCAAGGCCACGACTACACCAAATGTCCTGCCTGGGGTTGGGTTCCAGCCCCAGCTGAGGTCCGAGGCAAGTGGGTGGATGGGCGAATAGCTGAAAGAACTCTCAGGGGGCTGTAAGCAGGTGAAATGTAATTTTATTCAGCAGCTCTCTCAGCAGCAGCTTTCTTATGCTGTCTGCCTTTACCTCAGCTGTCTCCTCTGGCTCTGCGGCTTCTGTCACTCCCGTGCTTGCAGCTGCACTCCCTGGCCTGCAAGGCCAGCCACAGGGTCAGCAGCTCAACTGTTTCCCTCTGGGCACAAGCCGGTTCCTGGCTCCCCCTCCACCTGCCTTCAAGGCACCTGGCT